AATAGTTCCTTATCAGACTTTTGAAGACGAGCGTAGAAATGGGATCAGACTGCTGCGTTGTAAACTTGTATTTAAGTCTAATTGTTGTCATTTGTCATTCAAAATGCTCTCATTATTCCAACTACTGCATGAAAAAAACATGTCCCCCCCCCAAAAAAAAACAATTTGGTGATATTTCACACAGGGCACACACTTGCCGGTGCTCCGTACTGGATTTCATTTTGTCATAGCTGGCCTGTGCTCACTAATTTCAGACTGAAAAAGCATACTGATGCACAAAGTAGTTGATCTCTGCCAGCTGGTGTAAGGCGAGGTTAATTACTGTCGATTCCTGAGGGAAAAGCGACTTCAAAATGGCATTAAAAATTGATACCTGTGTGCAGCACTAATAATGTACTGACACAAGGTAATTAATCACAATTACGAGCTGATGTGCCTTAAATTATTATTCTTTGCCAGAGGAAAAAGGGTGACAAAACAAATCATGCGATGAATAGGCAAAAATGATTATCTGCCTACAGATTGTACTAATTATATGAATTACAGCAACTCTGCCTCTTTGCAATCCTCATTTGTTTTTGTCAGAGGCAACATCTGCACATTTGCTGGGACAAAAAGGCAAAACCTAAATGAATCTCATCATTTATGATGCCAGGAAATGTTTCAATTGATGTGAAACAATTATTTTGTTCTAATCAAAAACTCTTTAAAGCCAGCACTTCAGAACCCAGCAGCTGTCGGTACAGCTTTACAAAACGGTTAAATCAGTGCCTCAAAATGATCACTTTTAGTGCATGAGTCTTCTTCGCAGTGCCGTGCCAGAGCCAGGTGCTGACGTCTCCTTCGGGGGTTCTGAGTAGTCCGGGTTATCCGAACCCCTACCCACCTATGAGCCGGTGCAACCACACCATCCGTCTGCCAGAGGGCTCCAGAATAATCCTGAACTTCCTGGAACCCTTTGACATAGAAGGACATCCAGAAGCCCCCTGTCCGTATGATATGTTGAAGGTCAGTTGTGCAACTCCAAAGTCTGAACACACACAAGCTAATGAATGAGCAATGTATTCCTCCTCATGCTCGTGGAGGTGGTTTTGCCACTGACTTGTCCTGTTTGGGTGATATACTGTATAGCTATTGCGGTTTCATGCATATTTAGCCAGACATCAGTTAGGACTGAATCATGCTTGCTTATTTATTTATTTCTTTTAATTCTATCTAATGTCCCGACACGAAAGATTTCAACAGCTGGAAAAGAGTATGGGCCCTTCTGTGGCCCAACGCCGCCAGATCGGATTCACACGGGAAGTTATGACGTGCGCGTTGAGTTCAGGTCCGACTCTAGTGGAAAAAACAAGGGATGGAAGATCAAGTACACCAGTACCGAGGCAGAGACCCTTTCTTTGACTTCAGACTGATGGCACTACAGTTCATGGACTCTGTTTCTAATTGTCCTTATTTTGTGTAAGATCTTGCTATTCTCTGTTACATAGACAAATAAAAAGAGATTAAAATAAAACTGTTGTGTTATTTAGATCCTATTTGCTCATTACAATAAATACCGTGTGTCCAACTTTTAACCTAACAGTGTGCAGTCAGACGAGCATTTTCATTAACTTGGGTTTCCTCAAATTGCTGTGGGGGATTTCAGTCATCCTCTAATCTAGCCAAGGAATTGAAGAAATAAGAAAATCATTTAAGAGGGTCTAGATGTCAGTAAGTCTGGTCCAATAAGCGCTGTATGCTAGTCATTTAACCTTCATACATTATGCAGCTTGTTCTTAAACAATCCCGGCTACGCTCCTCTATCAAAACAATCATTATAGGGTTATTTAGTCCAAAGAAATGACTTATCCACACAACATTTCCTCCAGCCGTGTGACCCTCAGATGGTTCAAAAGTGCATGTCTGAAGGTGTCAGTGAGTGACAGAAAAATACTTGTGCCGATTTATCTTTATTGTTTCTTCTGCTCCAGTGTTTTGATTTCCTTCCTCCTTCTCCCGCAGAATTAGGTCAGCACAATTTTTCAGTGAACGTGTGACTTTCTTAAACCACAGTTTGTTAGCTTTGATTGTGCTGTTTTTCTCAGCCACATATTTTGTAGTTTGGAGGAAACAACCCCGAGCATGATGTGTAGCTACTGACCCACAGATCACCTCGTCATTTTCAACCCAACAGAAATACGAGGTCCTGTGTGGACATGTGCGCTGTAAACCGTCAGCCCACACGGGATTAAGGCTTGTTTACAGCATGAAATACCAGACAGCCCCTCGGGGCTCCCGTGTGCTTACCGAGCAAACCTGCAGTTCTTACCTGAGCGCCGTTAAGTCATAATCTAATCCACATGGAAGGTGTAAGACATGACGGAGCAATTGACCGCTCCTGTGCTCTCGCGCGCTCACTCCTAACTGTCCAGCCTAGTTGGAGCTAATTCCACAGGAATTACGCACACCATGAAACCCATTAACCAGCTGTTGAAAAATATCCAGCCGCAGCACGCTGCCAGTAGGCTGTCAGGCTTATAGCTAATATGCCCATCACTATTACACTAGTGCACGAACTCAGTTAAGTTGCTATAGAGAGAAATATAAAGTCTCAATATCAGAGACTGCTGCTTTTTTGTCATTGGTAATAATGTTCCTGACCACGCATACTCCTTCACCTTCACTAATAGGTGTTTAGAGTCTTCAAATTCAATATCACTAAGGAGATCCCTTGGTTTTAAGGCCAAACGCTACTGCTGTGTCACTTGACAGTGCAAAGCCTTTGAGGAAATCTCAAAAGTACTGAACTTTTTCCTTTTTTTTTTCTCCATATGGATTGTATTGGATTCTAAATGCTTTCAATATCTGTCACAATAATGTGGGACAACAGCACTATGGAAAGTCTGAAGGCACATTTAATGAAAGAAATAAAATATAAATCCCTCCTCCACCATGTAACATGTATAAATATGTACCACCATATACAATTTCCTTTAGCTACTTGTGGAAAATTAATATAAAACAGCCTCCTACAACCTGCAGTTTTTCTTGCTGATGAGCTGAGGCACAACTTTTTATTTTTTTGGGCATACATGGACACAATACCGAGTAATTATAAGCTGCTTACAAATGCTGCACTTAAAGGGTATCTAGTATGAAAGTACAAGCTGGCAGTGACATTGTAATTTCCCCACAACACGAAAAAGAAGAGGTCTTTCTGTAAATTCAGATCCTTCATTTGTGCTCATTGTTCAGGACACAGATGACAGGCATGAGAAAAGATACATCCCCATGAGTCACATGGACACTGCACACGCTGTCCACACCCTCTTACATCACACTGCCAGCAGCCTCATGCATAATAAGCTACAATGTCACACACACACACGAGGGTCATATGAATGAACATGTATCTAACTTTTTATTATTAAAGCAATGAACGTGTCTGTGTAACCAATTCAAACATATCTGGCCAATTTTTGCTCCCCTTTTGTATTTATTCCCGTTTCTGCACTCATCATTATTTATGAGGTATTTCTTCTCCTCTTTCAGATTCCATAAAACATCACACAGTGAAATTTCACATTAGGGTGCACAGTTTTGACAAATATTTCAAGATTTTTCAGCACACTCGTTAAAAAACTCCTTGACTTTTAATGCAGTTTCCAAAAATAGCTAAAAAATATGACTTAAAAAATGCATTAACAAGGCAATATCAGGATGACCTGGATACCAGATTTTCACTTTAGGACAGCAGAAGGTAAATTATGTGTTTAGCTTTCTGTAACTAATTAAAAGTAAGTTTTTACCTGTGTAAACTGAAGATCTATAATCTCAAATGCAGTGCATCCCTTCAATCATAGCAATAGTTAAGGGGCAGCAGAAGGCAAAATTGAAAAGAAAAAATATGTGTAATGATGACTATAAATGTAACAGGCAGCCTTAAAACAACAGTTCTTCATTTTTGGAGAAAAAACACTTTCTTTCTTTTTCTTTTTCAAAACTTTCTCACTGTGATAAAGCAAATAAATGTGAGTTAGATTAGAAGACCCATTTTATTTAAATACACAACAGTGAACCTTGGACTTTGGCCTAGAGGCGCAGCAACTTTTCTGTCAACTAGCGAGGTTGCCGGAAATAAGAGAATCTCCCCAAATACTGAGTTATAGCTTTAAGTTTAGATTTGTTTATCTGTAGTTATTCTCACAGCATGAAACACAAAATAAGCCAGTTAGAAAAAAATAAACCCAAGTGGTTAAGGTCTTTGATAAACATGACTTGTGTAAATCATCCAGCTTCCTCTTGAGGCAAAAGCATTCAAGTGGTTTTGAAATCTTACAAAGTGTCAACACTTGGGATTCATGTATTCCAGCAGTTTTGTTATTATCAGTAACGCAGGGCAAAAATCCTACTCTGCTGGGCCTGAGGCTGGTAGTGAATTCTTATCAGTCTGTGCTCAGGTAGAGTCTCGGCCTAGTTGCTGCCTTGGGCTTGCTTTTCGACGCCCTCCACCTTCCTCCTCTTGCTGGACTGCTGGCTGCCGCGCAGCTGTGTGTTGCTCCTGATAGATTGCACTGCCTGAATCTGCTGGAGACGTGTGGTCAGCTCAGCTTCGCAGGCCTGCAGCAGCGCGGACGTCCTCGCTCTGTCCCAGCCCAGCACCTGCTCCATAGCTCCCATCCCTCTGGCCACTACCATCTAAAGACACACAGACGGGAGCTCCATATAGTGGATATGGGAACATATGAGGCGATACACTGGCTTGCCCTACTAACATAAGTTTATGAATGCAAATGGAGATGGTTGACAAAGTCTTGTGCTTACACTGTACCTAAAGTAAATGGGATTATATCAGAACTGATGACGCAGGGGTGTGTTTTAAGTGTGTCAGAATGGGCAGTTTCACATGCTTGCTTTGATCATTTTGCAGCAGACTCACTGGGGTGTGTTACGACACAAGCCTTACAGCAGAAGGAGTGACGTGGGAATATGATGACGTAGGACCATTGAATGGAGTTGCCCCACATTTCTGCGATATGTAAATGAACCTCATTTGCTGGTGCCTGTTTAAATTTGCAGTTTGAACTTCTTGGTAGTTCTCAGAAAGAGTGGATTCTCTGCAACATTTACAATACAACAAATGTAAAAGTACACATTTGGGGTGTTTTTATTTGCTGATGCTTTGAGGCAGACTTAATCAGAGTTGTGTGAATAGGCTACCTGCAGATCCTCAGTGGAAAGCCTGGTCTCTGGCGATGTTTTGCCTTTCAGGACCATCAAAGTCCTGGACATAAATCCAGACGCAGAATCCACCTCCGTTCCATCTGGCACATCCACATCCCCGGCACCTGAGATATTGAAACAGGTTTCGACACATTTCAAAACATTTTAAACATAGTAAATGATTATTTCAGGTGGGGTTATTAAACAACAACAACAGGTCCACCTAGTGACCAAAAGATGGAAGTGCAGCTCTTCCCTCATGAGAAATTAAGAGAACGAACCGATAACAAATTAAGAAAGAAAAATAATACATGTTAACTAATAACATCTGCAGTTGTTTGAACCTCCTTCACTTAGAAATAAAAATACATATTTTAAGATAGTTTATTTATTTTGCTGCCCTTCTGTGTTTGAATGTGTGTAAATGTTAGATTGAAACAGGCATCGAAATAAAAAAAGCTGCTTGTATGAATGTTGTATAAAGCGCTTTGAGTGCTTAGGTTGAGTACAAAACCTAACATCTGTACATCTGGGGCCATTACCTATCTCGAGGGCTTCATAGTCATGGGACTATATTGATTATTTTGCTGGGTGTATTCGTGCATATTGATCACATCTATTGATTACATGTTTGTTACGCAGAGGGAACTGTATAAGCACCCTTTTCTTTTCAAATTAATGGTTTTTTGTTTGGTAAGCCACATAACACTGACCTATGAATCATTCAGTCATAAAAAGGTACCTCACTCAAGGGATGAATCTTGAGTTACACATGTTGTGTCTACACATAACAGACATCTTAGATGAGTGTTACGACTGTGATGTTAATCACATGTAAATTTGAGTGTCCAGGTGCTCCTCCAGGATTGGTGCGTCCAGGGTGGATGGCTCGCACCGATTGGCTGCGGACCGGGAGGCAGCGGATAAGAAGAGACCGCCGGCGACTGCTACTTCATTCATCCTCGGCCCAACCCAATCGGCAGACCATTCACTGTGTCACTGTGTTGATATGTTACTCGATGTAAGAGCATGTAGGGGTGGACCGCCTTTTTGTTTGATCAGTTTTCTCCTGTTTTTGTTAGGCAGGGAGGAAAGTGAGTGTCGTTTGGTTTAATTCTTTTTGGGTAGGTAAGTTGTTTATTCTTGAGATAGGTTACCTTTTGTTTGTTGTTTTGGCCTTGGGTTCACCCTGACGTTACGATATGCTCCCTTCCTTGGTTTAACCGCACTTATTGTAAATAAATCACTGTCACAAAATATTAAGTGTGTGACGTGCTGCTTGGGGTTGGACGGGGATGGATCACCCTTTATGTTGTGGTCTGGACACGCCTAGACGGGCCATAACAATGAGCATCAATTTTAAATTGTATCTTTGGACACTTTGTTACCACAGCCTGTCTCAAAAACACTGCATTTCCTTTTATGCCTGCACATTTCAATAAATTGCTGTTCCTTTTTCCATGTTCATAGTGAAATATGAAGAATTGACTTTGACCACCTTTGCTCTTCAACACAACCTGAGCTCTGTCAGGCAGGGATCACTGTCATGCTGAAAAATGAATACAATCAGATCAAGGATTAATTGTGGACTTTAAGAGGACCAGGAAAACCTTGTCCCCTGTTTCAATCCAGGGGGTCGATGTGGACATTGTGGAGGACTATAAATACCTTGGAGTATACATGGACAGTAAACTGGACAAAACATTGTTGCACTCTACAGGAAGGGCCAGAGTCATCTCTATTTTCTGAGGCGGCTGAGGTCTTTCAACATCTGTTGGATAATGGTCAGGATTTTCTATGAGTCTGTTATGGCCAGTGCCATCCTCTATGCTATTGCATGCTGGGGCAGCAGGTTGAGGGTCACAGATGCTAACAGACTCAATAAAGTGATCCGCAAGGCCATTAATGTTGTGGGGATGGAGCTGGACTCCCTTAGGGTGGTGTCTGAGAGGAGGATGTTGTCTAAGATAAGGACAATACTGGATAATAACTCCCACCCACTCCCTGACGTGCTGGCTAGCCATAGAAGCATGTTCAGTGAGAAACTGAGATTACCAAAAAGCACCACTGAACGACACAGGAAATCATTCCTGCCCATCTCCCTCAACTTCTCCATCTAATACACTGTAAACACTGCAATAGTTACACACAACAGTTAAATGTCAATCATATATACTTCCCCTGTGTAATATTCTTGATATCTGTAATTGAATGATTTGTATTTGTTAGTACTATTTCTTAAATTTGTAAACTTTGTAACATATTGTATTATTTAATTCGTTTAGTCCATTACTGTTACTGTCTTGGAGCAACTGTAACCCACATAATTATTAAAGTACTCTGACTCTTTCCAGACAGTATTACATGGTGGATCTAAATCTAACTTTTGTGTGTTCATAATTCTATCATTTTTGACACGATCCCCAACACCACGGGCTAAAATGCAGCACCAAACCACGACAGAGCCTCCAGTGTGTTTTACAGACACTCGGTTTTGGACCCCTCTCCTGGCGTCCTCTGTGGACACAATATGAACCAAAAATCTCAAATTCAGATTCATAATTCCTCCATAGGATCTGTTGCCTGTTGATTTTCAGTCCAGTTCTTGAATAATTTGGAAAACCTCACCCATTTCTCCCAGTTTCCCTTCCATAAGAATGGCTTCTTGACTGCCACCCTTCCACTGAGACCATGTCTGATGAGGCTTCTGTGAACAGTAGATGGAACAACGGATGCACCACAGAAGCATCTCTTACATCCTGTGTCAGCTCTGATTTGTTCTTCTATTTCTTCATGACATGACTTACATAGACTGTTCATCTGCTGTAGATACTTTTTTGTCCACCAACTGTCCAGTTTACTCAAATGTTTTAAGAACATACTGCACACCATGCTAAGAAAAGCCAAAGCTTTGGCATGTTTTTGGCAGTCACCATGTTGGCACATTTTTACCTTTGGCATTTTCATTGATTCAACTAAAAAAATGGAAACAAATGATGTGTTTTTGCCTCACACTGCTAGTAACAAAGCACCCAAAGATTCAATTTAACATTGATACTTTGCTATGGTGTCTGTTATGTGTAGACAAAACGCTGGTTCCTCCCTCGAGTTAGGCGCCTTTTAAAGCTTGTCTCATAGGTCAGCGTTAAGTGGCTTAACAAACCTCTCAGAGGAAAATCTTCCCTAAAAAAGGTCAGGTACAAGGACTGAAAATGAGTAAAAAAAAAAAAGCAGCCAATGCACAAAGAAAAATGTCAAAAAAGCTGAAGCTCAAGGCTTCAGCGTTGGAAAAACTGTTGCTCAAGGCAACCTAGAAGAATTACAAAAAAGTCAGGCTCATTGGAAGCAAAATATAAAGAAATAAAGGGTGGCTCCAACCTTTTGCACAGTACTGCAGTTCACAAAGTTTCTGTATCCCAGTTTGAATAATGACACAGAAACAGCTTTCTATGCAAGACTTAACTTGTTACAGAGTTTATATTGTGTATCCGTGTCACACTACAATAATCAGGAAATCTAATTTTCATATCTTTATCTCAACAAACTATTTCCACACGGTAAACATGGCAACCACCTCAAAATGACACAGCCGTACCTCCCTGAGAAGGCTGACTTGTTTCTTCCTGTTGTTTGTTCTCCTGCTCCACAGTTTTCAGGTAAAGCTGGAGCAATTCCTTGGATTGCCTCTCCTGCTCTCTTCGATCCAAAACCCTCTGCAGCGTCTCCTGGAGCTCTTGGGCCTTTTTCTCTTGGAAGCCCAGAGCAGAGGCTAGTTCAGGGCATGGGGCATCCACTAAGGTCTGAAAAAGCAAAGCAAAACAATAAAATACAATTGGCGGCTCCTATTTTTAGATTGATTAACACACTTATCGCTTTCTTATACTTGACATATAATGTTGGTACCTGTAGGTCCGCCTCAGACATGAGAATAATGGTAGTCAGGTCCTGCTTCAGCTGCTGAGCCAGTTCATACCAAGGTGCTACAGTACTGGAGCTGTCCACAGTATCAGTCTCCAGTATCACAGAATCCCTAGCCATCCAAGCTGTGCCACCATCAACTAAAAAGTAAATATCAAATTAACACAAGGTGGTGCATTCCCGGGATATTAATGATTGATGATAAAAAGGATGCAGAAAAATGTCAGATAAGAGTAAACCTGCTTACTCCTGCAAGGTGGAGACCACTTCTCTTTGTCATTCAATAGCATGAATTTTGTGTTTGAGGGTAAACACAAAAAGTAAGCCTGATCTTCTACTACTGTCCCATCATTCTCTAGGACCACTGTGACCGAGTCACTGGAGTTGAACCCAAGACACTGTCGACCTGTTAAAAGAACAGAGAAACTACAAATATTATAGAGTGTCCCAGATTATTTTTATACTTCAAAGTGTTTAGCCATATGGTTGTATCCATCCATCCGATTCAATATCCCAGCTGACTGTTGTGGAAAGAGGTGGCCGCGAATCCAGTTTAGCATATCAAATTAACCTCACATGCGTGTCTGTGGACTGTGGGGGGGAACCAGGAAATCCAACACAGATCCCTCTCTCTGTAAGGCGACAGTGCCGCCCATATTTCAGAGGAAAACAATCAGTATTAGTGTATCCCATAAGCCAAACATTCAAAGCAGTAATACCTCAGACACCACCTGTTCATCAGGTGATTCAGCATACTTCCACATGTCAAACAAGTCAGTCCATTTAAAGAGTCACCAGCCCTTTCATCAGAGCTGCTCCTATTTGCAATACAAAACATGTCTTACTTCCACTGGCTTTTAAAATTGTACAGCTATGAATCAGCACCTCTAGTTTAATAGTGCCCCAGCTCAATATTTCATATACATGTATTTATTTATGTATATTGAATAGGAATAAAGGCAATTTATAACTTTAAGCTAGCTTCAAAACCAAGAGGGGGGTTTTCAGATAGCATCCTAGTTTTGTCACTGGCAGTTACAGGAGACTTTATCAGAATCAGAAAGACACTTCTAGTATCGTCATGTAAGTGGCTTCAAAATCAAGGACCCAGCCTTATCTCCTCCAAACTCTGCTGACACATAACAACCAAAGACGTAGAAACACTTTTATTAAAAAGCTTTTTTTTTTAATTAAAAAGAGAAAAATGCAAAAAAAAAAGAGAAAAAAGTCTGGGGGTAACGCCTGGTGACTAGCCTTCTAGGAATGAGCAGGAAGAGCAATGACTTTTCATGTTAAGCTTCTGCAAGTTTAAACACGATGGATAAAAATGGGGGTGCTGCTTCTGCCACACACGACTAGATAAGTAAGCTTATCGACAGCAATAACTATTGTTGAATAGCAATAATCACCTCAGTTGTAATGTTAGTGCCTCCCGACACTCTCAAAAATCACTGAACATATGAAGTTCTTTCACTTTCGCAATATGAGACTCCGCTTTTAGCGCTCAGCACCAGTGCAAACTAAACATTTAAATATTGCACCCACAACGTTTGACTGCGTGAGACGGTACTTCACGTAACTGTCACACACCCGTTCAACATTAATGAATACACAGCTTTTATTAAAAAGAAACTCTAGCATGATAAAGTTCAGGAATGTAAAGTCATGACAACTTACCTTTTTTCTTAAGCTCATCTATGGAAATAGCTACTAGCCCATGCGTTTGTTGTCGTGTGAAATTGCACACCTTACACGGTTTATCCGTCATTGTAGTCTGCGTTTAGAGAAGCAGATTTTGTGCTTTCTTATTCCTTAATACTGACAATTATCGTCAGCAGCTATCAACTGCTACCACTATCCTCGAATACGGAACTGCCGCCGTGCCGCTATGGCATCTGGGATATGTAGTTTAGCACATACAAAGAAAGAACTGCCTTTGTGTTTACAGTTTGAATATAACGCTATAACTTCTATAGCGTTAATTTGAGTGTATTTTAAAAAACATCTTTTATTAACTATTTTCAAGCTCTAGACATAAGAAATATGAGAATAATAACATGTCCTTCCGAGCTCCTGTTAAAAAGCTCAAAGGTGGACTACCGCAAATGACCGCTAGATGGCGACCAAAGAAAGTCTGGCCTGACAGTGGAGTTCAGTTCTTTCTTTTTTGTTTTTCTTTCTTAAAGACATTTGGTTGGTTAATTGCGTGGTAAGAATAAATAGCTAGGGAGTAGGTGGAAGAGAGCCTGGAGAGGTGGCGGTATGGTCTGGAGAGAAGGGGAATGAAAGTCAGAATCAAAGAATTTGTGTAACAGTGAAACCAGGAGTACAGATACTGAAAAGTGGGTGGGTTTAAATAGTTTAAATACCTAGGTTCAGCCATCCAAAGCAGAGAGTACAGGCAGAGTGGAGCGGGTGGAGATGATTATCAGGGGTGATTTGAGACAGATGGATAGCAACAGCGGTGAAAGTAATGGTTTATAAGATGGTACTGAGACCTGTATGGTTTGGAGACTGTGGCACACACACACACACACAAAGGAGGCTGAGCTGAAGGTAGCAAAATTGAAGATGTTAAAATTTTCATTACAATTGACCAGAAATTAAAAATCAGAAACTAGAAGTTAGAAATGAGTACATCATAGGGACAGCTCATGCAGAGGGTTATGTCACAGAAGTGATGCTAAGGATGGGATGAAATGGAGGCAGATGATCCGCTGTGGCAACCCCTAAAGAGAGTAGTCGAGAGAGAAAAGAAGACTGCTTTATATGGTTCAAAAATGCACCACTTACATCACAGTGTCACCTGAAACAATAATATTAATGCTGTAAGTCTAGTATTTAGGGGTCTAACTTTTAGGGGGTTGTTGTAGCAAATGACTTTATAGTTTTATTTATTTATTTTTATTATTTATGAACTACTGTAAATAAATAGTATCTTCTTGCTGTGAATTCATTAAGTATTATGGTTTCTGAAGGGGCCCTGGGCAAAGCCATATTAAGCTATTATCTGGTGGCTGAATGCAAATCCGTTTCAACAAGTAGGGACTTACCACACCTCGTGACTAAGCTGTTGGCTTTGTTGTATAGATTTTTTTCTTGTTCTTTAGGCACAAGGGTGTGTTCAGCCTAGGAAATGATGAAGCTGACATTAAGTCTAAAAGTAGAACAGGCTCTAATATGACAAAAACAAAACAAACAGACAAAACAAATAAAAACAATTTACAAAAAAGAAGTTTTCTTGGCAATGAAAGAAAGACAGTGATCAACATTGACCACGGAGAAGTCTCAGTATAAGATCTACTGAAGGTGTGTGAGCATGAGAATGTGCTATGAGGAGGCTGAAACCTAACTTGATGTGCTTTTAAATTGTAGCGTTTTTAATAACAGACAGTAAGAATAGTGAGTGATACTTTGGAGTTAGACTTATCCTGCAGTGTCCCTTACTCACCTGCAGGAGGCAGTAGTGCATCTTAAAGCATGTTGCGTGGTAGAAATATACCAGAATAAGAAGTGTGGCTGAAGGAACAGAAGAAGAAGATGGCATCCAACGACCAAGCTGAGGCAACAACACAGGTCTCTATATGCATTAAAAGCGGTTTCTTTTTAATGTCCATGTGCGGTAGTGAACTGTTTTAGATATTTCGGGGCTTTAGATGTCTTAACGTTGGCATCGCGTGCCTGGAAATGCTCACCAAGTTTGAGATTAGCATGCCTGCTAGTTAGCATGCTAGCTAGGTTTCGAGTCAAAAGTTGTCACTGAGACATGAGTGTGTTTACAAGTGGACTGGAAGGGGCGTCATTTAGAGTTGCCATATTGTGTCGAAAATAATAGGGCATAGTTACTATATTTGCCATTGTCATCAAACGGTACAGCTGCACAATTGCATCTGAGCGTGTAGCCTCGTCTTACTGTGTGCAGATAACTGTAGGTGCAACTCAAAGGTCAGTGTAGGCAAATAAACCTGATGGTTTCTGTTGGGTTGCAGTCACAGTGTTATCTTTGAACTCATCAGCCCCCCAAAACAAATGTCATCGAGCGTCTTTATTCATGTATGTCACCAGTGACAACTTTACGTTTTGCTGTTACAGCCGAGATGCTGTTGTTTTCACAAAAAAATCAGTTTATATATGCTGTAGAGAAATGCAAAAGATTTTTATGTACATATTTGAGAGATGCTTAGTTACATTAAACACCTTAAATACATTTTTATTGTTTTTAAAATTCTCTAAACAGTAACTGTAGCTCAGGAGGTAGAGAGGGTCATCTACTAATTGTAGGCATACAGACTGTTGCTCAAGTGTGCTTGCCAAAGTATCCTTAAGCAATTTCCTAACCCAAGTTGCTTTCTAATGTGTTCATTAGAATGTGTGTGAATGTTCCATAGAAAGTGCTAAGGCCTAGAAAAAAAGTGTTTGTATGAATGGGCAAATGAAGTGCTTTGAGTGCTCACATAGAAAGTGGTAAATGGCCTGTATTTGTATAGCGCTTTACTTAGTCCCTAAGGACCCCAAAGTGCTTTACACTACATTCAGTCATCCAGCCATTCACAAACACATTCACACATTGGTGATGGCAAACTACAAAAGCACTAAATAAGAACCAGTCCATTTATGTCATTAATGTTTTCTTACCCAATCTTGTGGAAATGAAAAATAGCCTTTTTTAATTTATTTATTTTCCTGCCAATAGAACAAAATCTGTCCACATTCTACTACAAGCACTGCTCCATAAACGTCACAGTGAAATGGATACCCTTCAGTTTCCACAATCACTTTATTTGTGTTGTGAATTTTCCCCTGTTCACAATTTCTACAGTTTCCCATCTGTTACTGTACATAGGGAAATGTTTATGGAGTACAGCATGAAGCTAAACTCTTTGCCATGATGAGAACAGGTTAAAAAACTTCTGAGATATGACAGTAGTTAACTTTTGACAAAAGCTAACAGGAAGTTAGGTTGGTAGTTAGTTTGATACTTGCAGCTGTTTCTAGAACTCTTTCTTCTCTGTTTATTACATACCTGCAGAATCATACAACAGCACAATTCATCCAAAAGCTTTTCAAATGCACGAGAGTTGCTCACATTTATGTACCTGACACCACAGAAGTAACTTCAGTCACAGTAAATTATCCCCAAAATTCAGGCAGCTTTGATCAGGATCTAGCAGCAGATAACACTGTGTTCTGTACTTCACACAGGCTCTGACAGGGTTCAGTCTCTAACTAACGGGGATCCTAATAAACGGAGCAATTTTTAAGTGTAAGAGTTGCCTGATCATTTTGCAGAAATATGCCAAGCGTGAAAGAGTGCTGAAGCACTTTGTATAAATGTTGTTGATATGCCTGAATGAAGCCTTGAGGCCTAGTATTGTAAAAGTGTCCCATACCTGAATAACCGAATACTGTCACTTCAACAGCTAAACCGGAAGGTCGCCGGTTCGATCCCCAGGCTCTCTGTCCTGGTCGTTGTGTCCTTGGGCAAGACATTTTACCCTACTGCTTACTGGTGTTGGCCAGAAGGGCCGATGGCGCGATATGGCAGCCTCGCTTCTGTCAGCCTGCCCCAGGGCAGCTGTGGCTACAACCGTAGCTTGCCTCCACCAGTGTGTGAATGCGAGAGTGAATGAATAGTGGCATTGTAAAGCGCTTTGGGTGCCTTGAAAAGCGCTATATAAATCCAATCCATTATTATTATTATTATTATTATTATAAAGCCAGCAATGTTACATACCCTGTGCTTGTAAAGGGCGACCATAGTTACCAAGCTTCAAACCGACATTACTTCTGTTTTCCACTAGATGGCACTCTAATACAAATGTTTGTTTATGTTCTCAGCCTGGCCTTCTGCCTGGAAAAGATGGAGCACGTAGCCCCAGAGAAGAACTGGTAAGAATTTATTCCTTAATCTGAATTACATGAATTATTGGTAAGGAAACATTGACTGTAACCACAAAAACATTAAATGAAGCTAATGTAAGTGAGAGCTGGAAAGAAATAGCATCTTGGATCAAACGATGCAAATATTAAATTACATTTCCTGTAAAGAAAACAAAAAGCAATGAATAAGGTATCATAATGGCTGGAAATAATATTTCAGATATTCTCACATGGCACACGCTGTGATTCTTAATACTAGTGCTCAGAAGTGTGGATTTTACTAAAACTCAAGCATTAGTGGGATTTTGAAAGAATGAAAATCTTCTAATTTCTTGGCTTGATCTGGTGATGCATAGTTGAGGAAGATTATGATGGTTTTTCTCTCCCCCCCCCACCTCAACATCTGATAATTTAAAGACTTTTATTTGGCTGTATTACACATTCCCCAGGGAGATCCAGTATTAAAGGCTTCCAATTAGCAGACAGTCACTTTATACATCACAATGATGTCCCCAAGCTGTAATGAGAGTATACTTTATGTTCTTGGTCTTTAGAGAGGAAAATGGTCTATTTTAACAGCAGCAATGGGTTCCACAGTTTCTTTAATCATGCATAGCATAAAACTTTGACTGCACATCTTTGTTGTTCTTTGTTTATCCTTTTAGTCTGTGTCAGAATTGGGTCGGGAAAGTTGCTAATTTGGAGTTTCTTCGCCATGTAGACTCCTGTGCAAACACAAAGGGCACTTGAAGGGGTTAGTCCCTCAAAAAGGTGTTATAAGGTGGTGTTTAACAAGAATAAATGTCAGTTTTTCTCTTCAGTAATGTGCAGAGTGTTTATAAGGCATGCTTGGCCCAAGCAATGACTATAACCAGGAATGTTTGGTAATTGCTAAGTGGGATGGAATCCATCCCAGGTACACTCACTGTCCTTGTATAGGCACAGCATGCAGGTTATAGAAGTGCTGTATTGTTCAGCCTACATGTCTCAATG